AACAGCATATGCTTAACATATAGCGAAAACTCTCAATATGAGCTCGAGTTTGGCCTGTCTCGGATAGACAAGGCAACCAAGCGCCTCTGAGGTCTATTCTGTGAAAATTTAACGCTCAACCTAAGGAAGCGCTTTGTTACGATGGAGACTTTGGCAAGAACGGTCTCGGTCTCAGCGCAAATTACTTCTGTTCATCGTCTACCGGTATACCGTGAGGAAACCGATGCAAACTTGGCTGCCCGACGTGGAATTTTTCATGCTCAGCGGTCGACCGGTCTCGCAAAATATGAGCTCAATGCCGAACCAGCGGCAACATACTCGGGCCTTCTAAGGCTTAGTCGACCGGGGTTTCGTGGCAAAGAACCCGAGCCGTTTTCTTTCTTTCCTTATTTTTTTTTTTTTTTTTTTTTTTTGTTCCTGAATATCGGTATGGTTACCCATGCTGCAGCCTATAAGCGCTAGACAGCGAGAAGAAAGTCCGGAAAACTTATATGTGTTGAGAAATCGATACGAGTTCGCCGTTCAAGACATTTTACTCCTTCCCATCAATCAGATCGAGTAATTGATTCACATGTCAATATGTTTTTGTAGAAGAAGGTTGATAAGATAGGTGCAATCCTGGTTGCTGGGAAACCTGCATTCTAGGATCGCACATTGTTGATTGAAGAGGTCTAACCAACGTCAAAAAAAAAAAAAAAAAAAAAAACCATCCGTTTGCGCTCGAAAATGGAGTAGATGCGGTGAGGCTGGTTTACGAGACCAAGTAGATGCCCACCTGTGTGCATACACGCCAAAAACAACGCTATGGTTATAGTTTCCACCGATTATACGCCGCATAAATTATTTCACAGATGCGGCGTTTGTGAGTTATCACATCGTGATAGCGCTATCACACTGCGTATCGCCCGATTTGCCTATAGCGGCATTGATAAGTCCCCTATTGAGACGGCATAACCATCTTAGGATGGACCAAAACCAACCCGTCTCCAAATGGATGCCCGTTACCGCTCAAGGAAAGAGAAACGTGATCACCGTGGTCCCGCCGTACCGCCCTACGACCTCGAGGCTGCCCGCCGCCCACACTTAGGATATCACGTTGTGTTTCCCGCTTCACGTTGTGTTGCCCACTTCACTTGAAAGTTCCTACTGTCGCTAGCTGACTCAACGCAACAACCCCCAACTGGTGGAGTAGTCCTGCGTCTGGCCTCGAGACTAAGCTGACTCTATATGTAGTGTATATAGTCGTGTGTCTCGTCTTGGCCTGGTAACCTCTTGCGCTGGCAGTCCAACCAATATTATGGACAGAGTTGGCCGAAAACGGACGTCTGTTTGCTAACCTGAAGTTATCAAAACACGCCTAAGCAGGACTTTGAATTGAATTCTCGTGTTGACCAGCCGCAGCACTTTGTGAGGCCTCAAGGCCGGCCTGCGCTGAGATATTTCGATAAATTCCCTTGACATTCCTCCATGCTGCATACTATCGCTCCGAAAAGTTCGTGGTCAAGCCAATTACCTCAACTCGACAGCAATAGATCATTGCCAAATATTAAATTCCCCCTAAATTATAAAAGATATTTCCACAAAACAAGGTATCACGGCGCGTCCAAACCGAACAATCCGGAGAGCTCTTACATATATATAGCAAGTCTCCTAACTTCTGTTTGGATTAAGAGTACCCTGAGGCGCTTGACCAGTGGAAACGAATGTCGGTGATATCGGAAGCGCACGGATTTCCTGGTACCCTTTTCTGAGCCCTATGACGTTGATAATGCCATAAGTTTTGGTAGAAACTGCTACCAGGTGTTCAACAGCCACCCGCCTGGATACATTATACTACCAATCGACCTCGAGTATTTTATGAAGTTTGAAGAAGCGGATTTCAACGACAGAATGCAGCTGTGTCGAGAGGGGAGGGGACCCAGGCGTCGAATTGTCCCGTCTACCCAAATGTACCGGGACCATTTGGAGAAGCGGGATCTGATACGCCAGTTCGACTCCCCTGGAGTCAAGGGAACCAACAGAATCGTTGACCCCAACTGCGGTGGCGGTTTATATGACATATATTTGAGGAGAGACCATCTATTCTTTGGTGAAGATGCGAAACCAATTATCGGTCGGTTTAAACGTGGGAAGATCTGGCACGGCAGCCCGACTGCCACAGCTCTACATACTGCTAAAGTTTTAGGTTGCCCCGGCCCCACGGACGACTGGATAGAACCTGATAAGTTTAGCATGTTGTCAGAGTTAATAGCGCTGTGGAAGATGGAGCCACCACCACCTACAACCCCAGGACACGGACTCTCCAATCGAGAGGACGAAGATGTGGAAGGTGTAAGTTTCATCAGAAGTGTGAAGGAGCACAATCGTAGGCCGATGGTGTCCGTAATCGCAAGGAATTGGCAATGGGGGCCTCAGTTAACGTCAGATGACGCGGCCCGGTTTTTCAGTCAAGTTATGTAGTATCAAATTGCTTGGGAACCTGTCATTTTTATCGCCATCCTATGGTCGTATATGAGCCTCGATATATCGACACATATCGGTGTAGAATGGATTTTCGGAATTGCTCTAGATCTAGTAATATCGACCTGGGATTGAAGAGTTAATCCATCCCCAGTGGGCAACCTTCACTATTTCCGCAAAGAGAGCCATGATCTTGGCTATGGCCTAGCAGACCATTAACGCGTTCCTAGCCAAGTAGGGAGAGGGAACTCTAGGTACCCTTGGGTGCTGCATGTATGTACGTTGTGTTGTCTGCGAATTGCCCACGAAGTATCTCGTAACTAGAAGGCTTAAGGATGGGAAGGGCGATTTGATCGATTGATCGAAAAGCCCAGCAACTTGGCAACCCATAGAAACAACTATCAGACCGTGAACCGAATGCCATTACCTGATCAGAATGCACAACTGAAAAATCCTATCTGCTCCCATCAGCATATTCTGGTTTCATATATTAGCCGAAAGCACAGGCGGCTGGACGGTCCTATGTCCAAGCCTAGCATAGGCGAGAGGGTTCCGGCTTGGTAGCACAAAGATTTTCAAGGCTCTAATTTGTGGAGAAAGGAGAATATCTTACGATCTTAACGTTGATTCGTGGTCTCTGCCCAGCCGTATATAACGTTACGGTTTCTCGCTTTCTGAAGTTGGAGTGATGCATTTAGCCTTTGGTATTTGCTGAAGCTTGAGGGTATTTTTTTCTTCAGGGGCGGCTTGTTGCTGCTGTACTATAACTCGAAAAATAAATATAAATACCTCTGTTGAATTCTGAATTCGTAAAGGTGAATTGTCGAAGTATCTCGAAAACACTTCTGAATTTTCGATCCAGCATAAAAACACGCTCATTCAAGATGCAAATAACAACTTTCGCCCTTGTGACCGCCATTATAAGCCAGGCGGCCGCACAATTACCATTCTCAAACTCACTAGTACGATAACATTCCCGTCCACCGAGCCGCAACGGCAATCCCATAGATAAACGGGTACCTGAAAAACGTCCCACTAACCAAAGCTCACTCCATAGTGCGGCGGAATCCGCTGGCAAATACGCACAACCTGTCTCCCGGGCTCCACATGCACCACTATCAACGCCTACAACTCCTACTGCACCAAGGTCCCGGACCCGGTAGGACCACGGGACGAACCCCCAACCACTACATTCACGCCGACCACAGCTACGGGACTCAATTGCGAGACGACTTTAACGACTTGCACGACGCTGTTGGTGTGCCCGAGGGGTTCTACGAGGACTTGTAAGGAATGGTGTGATGGGCAGCCGAAGCCGACGTTTTCCCCGTTGGTTGTACCGTGCAGTTTCAACAGCAATCCTGCCACAACCACGACAGCGGCCTAATTGGTACTGATATTTGCGGTTCCCCTGGATGCCTGCATGGAAGCTTGGATCAATTTTGTCAAAGGCCCGGCACCATATTTTCTCTTAGACCTTTTACGGGTGCCAAAAGTTCAATATTGTGTTGATATTGTGGCATTTTTGACTAAGTGAGAGGGAGTGGTATTGAATAGCACATATGGTAGCTCTACATAGCCAGATGTTATTCAATATATTACTACAGACACAAATCCATCAAGTAATCTAAGAAAAAGATTCCTGAAGTATATTGGTTTTGTTAAAGAGTCTGATATATCTTTCCTTTGTGAGCGTTGACATCATGGTATCCAAAACAGTGCTTAAATTTGGGCACAAATTTATCACGCCTACTTACCCATATGTTCCCTAACAGCTAGAAGCAAGGCGCAAGAAGTAGTTCATGCTTAGGAAAAAACAAGATCATAAAACTTATCCCTGAGAATCATGTTTGAAAATGTTAGCCTCGAACTCGGTCTAGAATATCCAGAAAGATTCCCTGCAACGTTGTATACGCAAAATCAAAATCCTCGTACCCAGTATTAACTAACTTTAAGATACTATATTGCACATGATTAATGTTTAGTCCACGAACCCTATCTAATTTCTGCATTCATGCGCTGGTACCTATTATGGGAATGTTAATTGCAACAGAGGACAGTTAAACCACAAACATTTCTGTTGAAGCTACACAACCTGCATGGTTTCCAACAATTCGTTATCGATAGCCTAACTTCCTATTTGTTTCTAAGTAGCTATAGTACTCTTCTCACTATAACCAAATATATGCGCATTGCTACCCCAACGGTTTGCAGTCTCGTAACCAGACTTTCGTAACAGTTTGGAGTCTGGAAAAGTTTCTATCACGCAGGCAACACACTTTCCCAGAAAACGCTTGCTTTTCCAATTTCGGTCCAAAAAGGCCATCAAACGTTTTTTTCCCTTGAAGTTCTAATTCCGTTGGACCCTCGATCCGCGAACCCCTGCTCAATCGGCCCGGTTTGCCCTAATTTTGAACAGCGTTACATTGCCGATTGGCGACTATTTTTTGATAAAATTGGGAACGCCACATCAAAAAAAGTTTTCCCCTAAATTGAGATGGAGAAACTTCAAAAAAGAATGCCACAAGGGCTTAATTGAATGCTCCCATACGGATTTGAACCGTAGACCTCGACATTTCCCGGAATCCGGTTGAAATCCTAAGAGGAGATACTAGTGTCGCGCTCTACCAACTGAGCTATAGGAGCTTGGGGAAATCGCTATATTTTTCGGTATTTAAGCTCTCCAGAGGGAGAGGAATCGATTGGAAAAAGTCTTGAAGGGGTTGGAGGTCTGGTTCGTTGGCAATTGGTGGATACGTATACCGCGATACTTGAAACCGCGATTACTATGATGGGGGTGAGCGAAAAGTTTTCCAGGTAAGGATTTTGCTAGTGTCGCGCGAGTGAGATGCTGTGTTAGCCTGGACGACAGCCAACATATACGCGTTGCGAGATTGCTCGCACACTCGTACCGTCTACATACTCAAAGCGTCGCAGCTACGGGGCTACTACAGACTATGACATATGTATGGCATTCGCTTTCATTCGAGAGTTAAAAGTTGTCTGGTTAGGGACAACTGAAGTTTACGATCCGATAGTATCAATAATTATGGAAGAAATCTTTTAAGTTTTCGCGACGTGTTCAGTATCACAGTTTAGTTAACGGACAATGCATTGCATTAGCTATTAACCCAATGCCGAATAATGTCGACGCAACGTACGACAACCGGCTATGATAATAATACATTAATCAGCTAGTATCAATCCTACTACTAGACCCCATTCCTTTCGAATTAATGCGATTTAAAATCTTCTACCGCCTCCAGCAAAGTCTTTTCAGACAGACTCGAAATGAAGGCCTTTACTCGTCCTTCTTCTAGGAAAATAACCTTCCCCTTGTTTAATTGCCTGACCAGCCCTTCTTGACCAAAAAACTCCGCAACCTCGGTTCGAACGCGTGGATCTCTAGATAACAGAAATTCTAAATCCTGAAGGTCTGTTGTCTGTTTGGTGATATCTCTTCTGTTGGGGAGAGCATTTAATTTTTGAACGATTTGAATGTCGTCACAGACGACTTCGAAGCCCTGGCATTCTTCTGAAATCGGCTTGATTTCGCTGAAGCGGCTTACTCTCAAGTTTATCCTAATGTCCGTGGCCCGATCCACAGCGTCGAAGCCTGTGCTGGACACTTTTAGAATGTTGAATCCGGCGCCTTCGATCTTTGACTGTAATGTCTGAAGGTGAGTGGAATCGGTAACTTCGAGGTCCAAATCCTGTATAAATGTCAGATCTCAAGTAAAATATTTCCAATCAAATATAGCTAAGGTATATACTAACAGTTGTAGCCCTCTCTCCTCCTTTGACTCTAATAGCAAAGCCACCAACAAAAAACAATATCCCTTCTCGGAAGTAGTTTCTCAGCTCATGATGGAGAGCTCGGGCAGTTATCTCTACTGCCATTGATGTCTATGTATCACTAATGTTAGATATAGTTAACTGCTTATTAAATGGTGATCCCCCTTACATCGTCGTTTCTGCTGAGTGTACGCGCACGCGTGTCGGCATCGTCACAAGTTTCAAACTCCAGCTCGTTTTCTACAAGATGCAAATGCACAATTAGATGAATTCTCAACATTGGCTGGAAAGGTCGACTAGATGATTAAAGATTTTGGGAGTATTACATACCAAAATTGCCCCACTCGTGGTTATCGTCATCGTTATCAGTATAACCATCAAGGTCAGCGCCTAGAGTCCCTATAAACTCCTCTTCATATGGCAGCGAAGTACTTTCGGCGTCATCATCATTAAGAACAAAAGATGCTTTCGTTTTTAATTTCCGCGATGCTTTTCGCACGGTTCCCCGCTCTTTCTCCCTTTCGCAATGTCAGTGAAATATATTGCGTTCTTCTGCCTGGGGGATTTCATTCTCACTGTTTGCGACCCATCTCGTCTAGTCCGCACGCATCCAGCGCTCGATATATATATATATTTACTGATTACCGATTCGGTGATATATGTATCTGTGGTCGGCGGAGAGTAACTTCGGGGAGATTTAGTCTTAGAAGTACTCTTAGTCATAGTGAAGATTCCCATTCAGAATAACTTCTTTCGATGGCTTTTACTATTTTTGCAATATTTCTTACACATGGGGGTTAAAATAAAACGTCTATCGACGATCACAAACGAATTGGTCTTCGTATTCGCAGACAACAAAATCTTTAGAATGGTAAAAGATTACTTACTCGCGATACACGCATGACGGTCCAATATCTGAGGATATTATATTCTATACGCTAAATTTATGTACAAGAATTCAAAAATAACAGACTAGGATCAAGGCTAGTGTTGGGGTTTGGTATGGATGCGATCAAATATTGGAACACTTTCTGGTGATAAACAGTCTCGTATCTCTCTAAGTTTGATCGGATACTCCTCAGGACTGTTATATAGCTCCTCCCACGGTTCTCTCCATCTCCAAGCAACAAGGGTAACCAGTTGAACATATATCCGTCTCCTCACATCTGAAGTTGTCTTCTCATCCGAACTTGAGAAATTCTCCGAGCAGTACAATAGCGCGTTTAGTAAGCTAGAAAACGAAGGAACACCGACTTTGTCGAATTCATCCGGCAAGCCAAAAGACTTTGGGGGAGCTTGAACCGAGGCTGGATTTGTAACGTCGAAGTGGAATATCTCATCGGGGATTAAGATGATATAATCTGCAGTCGTGCGAAGAGGTTTACTTGAAGCAAGAACAATACAATCATCCAAATAACAACGGGATAGACCGGCGATTTCTTTATTAGGTGGGAATGTCGTTTGACGTGAAAAGACGGATAAGCAGTTCACCAAGCATGTTGCTGCTCTTTCGAGGTGCGTCTTTGGAACTAAGATTTGCATCACATTCCAGACATGCGTCGGTACTTCATGACAGATTGATGCATCATCCCCCCAGATGGCGTGTGGTATGTTATAGGAGCCTAGGATCTTGGGGGGCGTGAAGCGGAGTCTGGCGGCGGCCGGCGGCCGTAGGGTTGGTGTTCGGTCGTTGTAGTCCCAAACCATGATGTGTGATGATATTTGGTCTTTTTTATGTTAGCATGGAAGGGAAATTTATCTGGTTGGTTGTCAGTGTCGAGTTAATTTATGTCGTGGGTTTTGGTGTCACTCGGACCCGACGATCGGTTTGTAATTGTGTTGTTCGTGTTGCATATCTGCACAGATCCAATAGAAGTGATCAAGAACATTCCTACTTTATCGATAGTAGTTACTTAAGTAAGTACTTAGATAAGTAATTTACGAGATTGGTAAATTATAGTCTCGTCACCAGAAGGTTCGTAATTAAATGCCTGTATCCCAGGCTACGGGGTGGAATCGCGCGTTGGTGTGACCTTTGACGACACCCAACACATTTCGAGATTTCTCTACCACCCCGAGCAAAGACATTGCATTAGCCCCGACACGAACATTACATATAACATAACATGCCTCCCCCCAAACCTGCCACCATGATATAACCACAATGCCACCACCAATCCTCCACCACCTCCGCCTCCCACTAACCCCCTACTCCCGCGCCTCCAAACTCCAATCCATCCTCTTCAACCTCCACCTCCTCTACAAATCCTCCCTCACAACTCCAAACCCCATCCCTCAACCCCCACCATACCTCATCACCGCCTCCTTCAATCCAATCTACACCTTCGGCCGTCGCGAAGTATCCAAAAACCCACCAGAATCAGTTCTAGACCTCCTATCCCACGATGAAGCAGAGATAGCCTACACGCCCAGGGGTGGACAAGTTACCTTCCACGGTCCCGGACAAATAGTTGCATATCCCATAATCGACTTAAAACGGCATGATCTTTCTCCAAAGTGTTATATCCGGGTCTTGGAAAACGCTATAATACGCGTTTTGGAAAATTGGGATATAAAGGGGTTTACGACAGATGAAGCGGGGGTATGGGTTCGAAGGGATAGAAAGGTTGCAAGTGTTGGAGTGAATTTGAGGAGGTGGGTTAGTAGTCATGGGGTGGCGTTGAATGTTGATGTAGACCTTGAGTGGTTTAAAAGAATTGTGGCTTGTGGATTGGATGGAGTTGAGATGTGGTCGATGAAGAAGGAGTGGAGGTATCAGTTGAAGGATAGGGAGGATAGAGGTCTGCCTGATGAGAAAGCTGTTTTTGCGACGAAGATAATACAGTTTAGAGGGAAGGTTTTGAAGGAGGCGGTGGTGGATTCGATTGTGATGCATATTAAGGATGGGATAGGATGTCAGGAAACTAAAGAGATTACGGTGGAAGAGGTGGAGGAGTTGGGGGAGAAGTACGGACTTACCGACAAGGGAGATGGGGTGGAGGTGCTTCGGGGGAGCGACTTCTACCACTTGCGAAGCTGGGGGCGAGCGGGGTTGATTCACAAGGCGAAGGGGAATCTCGAGAAGGCTTTAGAGAGTCAAGAGGAGCATCGACTAATCCCAGACCACATAAGAGACCCAGACGAAAGGGCTATCACGGACGAAGATTGTTGGGAATTAAAAGAAGACGATTCCCCGACCTTCAGCGGTAATTTACAACTAGTAAGCTCCCCCGACCACGAATGGCGAGGAGGAGACTATCTCCAGCGCCCGCTATACCTCTGGCGTGACCGCAGAAAGCACATGGACCCTAACTATGAAATACCAACTTTGAGCAGTCCAAAAAGACCAAGGCGGCGTCGAAAACCAAAGAAAACTAAGGAGGAGATCGATCGGGAGAATTTGCTCGCCGGTAGGGACCTATGGCATCAATTAATATCTGAACGTATGGAACGAAGGCTTCGGCGGCGTAGGTTAGGACACGGTTGGAGATGGGGCCCCTCTGACGAGGAGCTGCTGAAGAAGTGGGAACGTCTAGAGCTATCCAGGGACGAGGACATAGGGCCTGCGAAGGATATGACAGAAAATGTACCAAAGAAGCGAGATCATCCGAAGCCAGCCTATAAGGCAGCACAGGAACCATCCGAAGATGTTAATGATTCCGAAGATGAACTACCAAAGAAGTGGGAACGTCCGAGCCTGTTCGCCGACGAACATGTGGAATCAATAAAGGATAATACAGCAACAGCACCAAAGAAACGCGGACGTCCGAAGAAAATCACGGGTGATACAGAGCCGCCTAAGAATATCATCAGTGTACTAGAAGAAACGCCGAAGAAGAGAGGTCGTCCAA